AGGTGGAAGGGTCAAAGCCACACTCATTACTAACTTTTGTCTATGTGCAATTTGCAATTTCACCCCACTTCCTCAACATGTCATTCATAGTGTAATATGTGAATAGCTCCAAAGATTTCAGCCACCGTACAACACCTCACCTAACACTGATCATACTCACCTGAACCTTACTCACCTCAAGTTCCTCAAACTTGGGCTTGGGCCTCAATTTTAAGCATAGGTCTAAGATCTATCCTTAGAGTTGGGCTTGGGTTGGTCAGCAACCCGACTCAACCCATCCAATTACCTCTGCTTTTTTGAGAGAGTTAAAAGAGGGGTTTTAAGAGATTTAAGATGAGAGGAATTTAGATCTCCTAACAAAAAATGTTTCATTATAATCTGTGTCCTACGGTGGGTCCCAGTCTTATGGTGAAATGTATAGACACAAATCATGTTGGAATTGTGTTGGGACAGTTTTTGTTAGGAGGAAATCACAAAAAGGAAAGACATAGAGAGAGAAGGGGGTTTAATGGGAGATGGGGGACACACGGAGTGAGTTATAACTTACTGAACCCACAATTATAATATCTTTTATTAGAAAGTTTAAAGGTTTTTTTAAATGGGTTAAATTTGAATGGTTGATATGGGTTTGATTTTATAAAACCTGGACACAAGGATTAAAGCATTAGTATCGGGTATCGTATCGAACGGTTTAGATATGAATACGGATATGCTTTGGAAATGCATGGATATGGACGAAAGATATGAAAACGCATGGATACGCTAGGAAAATAATACAAATTTCATAAACACGATTGCTTACACTAATTTTAAAAGTTAAAATAGCCACAAATAAAGTATAAATACATAAAAATGTATATTTTAATGATAAAGAAATATATTACTAATATAATGAGATACATAAATATCACACAATTTCGTTGATAATTTACTAATCAAGAGTCCAACACTCTTATATAGTTTTTCAAAATAAAACATGCGCAAACCATTATTATGTTAAATTCTGTAAATCCAATACACAAAACCATTATTACTATATTTTTTGCCGACGATGCACCCTCTCGGAAGACCTCGAAGGAGGAACTACCTCGGGACGGATTTGCGGTGCCGTGCTAGCCCGGTTTTGCCTCTGGCAATTCTCCTTCATCCAACGTACGATTTCCTCTTCACTTACCATTTCTACACCTGCACCGCAGAAGCACGATAGTGAGTACAAGATCAAAGAAGCAAAGAAAGTACAGGCAAATAATGCAACGAAAAGGACGGACCAGCCACCCTATGCATCAGCCCGCCGAGAATCAACATCTCCAAGCAGGTATACACAGCTACGTCTATCTCGTGGGTCATGCTCAGAGCTGACCTTTCCTCCCAAGTAGACCTGTTCATGGGCTGGGCTTGGGCCGGGCTTTCACTTGTCATTAAGGGAAATATGCTAGGCCCGAGCCCGAGCCCGGCCCGACCAACGGGCCTATAACTTGGGCCCGTGCCCGTGAAGGGATGAGAGATCCATCGTATGGACGCCCAAAAATTGTGGAATAAGGGGGCGAATTTCAAAAATTTTTCTCTCCCTTCAATTGGGAATCGCATTCCCTATTTTAGAAAATCATATTTTCAATGATCATTCTTGAACCATAAACTGAACCAGATCTGAATCAAAAGTAGGAGAGGATTATACCTGATACGGAGAAATAGTATCTCCCAACGAATGTGTTCACGCCCAATGAAGGATCCAAAGACTGCTCCCACTGAAGATGGCGCAGTGCAGGATGGAGCAAAATCAACAGTATTCTTCTCCAAGAACTCTGTCATTCGCAAGAATCAGCAGGATGGCACGTGAGCACAGCTTCCTATCAATTCTTTCTCAAAGAACTGATGTCAATATCAAATCTTGACTTCTTCCACAACTGGAGATCGAACTGGCAAACAGGGCGGCAGGAACAGGGAGGTGGCAAGAGAGTATTCGCAGGGTGCAGAATTCTCTCTTCTTGTGATTTCAGCACTAAAGAAAATCTGATTGTATGTCTCCTAAAGGCTGCCGCCCCCTCTTTCTTTTGTTAACCTAAATGATCAGCTCCTGATCCAATTACGAACTGCTTATCCAAATCATATTTGGAGACCTCTTTTAGGTGATAGGGATAAACCCTTATCTTATCTGCAGATTAGATTAGCTTTCTCCTAATCTCATTAGGAGGTTTCTAGATCTGAATCACATTCAGATCTTGACAATATGAGTGGATAAGGTCTCTGCTAATCCATCTCAGAATTCGCCCCATTATTAACTAATAAAATAGCCCAGTTCGAAATGTGCTTTAGGCCCATTAAGCTTATGTGCTCACCTAACCTTCCTAACTGCTGCCCAGTTGGGATTCCTTGTATGATGTGGGACCCAAGCATTGATCTACACATCAGCCACATGGGTTCGGCCCAGCCTTTGTTACMAGGCCTGGCCGAATACACTGTTATGGACAGTGCACCCTCTGAAACCCATCAAATGGGCTCT